TATATATATATATATATATATATATATATATATATATATATATATATATATGTTCAGGTGCATGTATGCGGGTTATCGGGTGTGAGTGTTGTGTACATGTGCAGTGGAAGTTGGGGTGTATATGCAGCTCGTCTCCTCTTGATTTGCATGCAAAGAAATAATATAACGCCTATAAAAGAGAGATGAAGGGGTGCACTTGTTGTTGTTGTTCGTGTTTGTTGTTTATGTTTGCTGTTTATGTTTGCTGTTAATGTTTGCTGTTTATGTTCGTTTTTGTTTATGTTTGTTTGTTTGTTAATTTTTGTTTGTTTGTTTGTTTGTTTTTGTTTGTTTGTTTGTTAATTTTCGTTTGTTTATGTTTGTTTTGATTATTTTTGTTTGTTTTTGTGTTTATAAATCTGCTCGTTTATCCTTAGATTCAAAAAGAGAGAGTAGATACTGCTGCTGCTTCTCTCTGCCGTGTCGCTGATGGTTATTAAAAACATTTTTCTTTTATTTTCATTTCTGTCATCGGAACGCCTAAACATTTATTTAATTCAATAAAAACAAACAAATCAAACAAACAAACAAACAAACAAACACACAAACATACACACAAACATACACACACATACTAAGTTTATCTTTTTCTCTTTTGTTTGTGCTCCCTGCCTCCTCGGCTGCGGTGTTGCGCTGCAGCACACAAAGGGATTAGTGTTTAAGGTTTAGGGTTTAGTAGCTAGGGTTTATTAGGGTTTAGGAGCTAGGGTTTAGGGTTTAGTGTTTAGGGGTAAGGATTCGAATTGCCTCACCCCACCTATTATTTGAATATAAACATTTTGCTGTCTTTGAAAGACACCCCACATTTTATTATAAATAATAAATAAAATTGACTCTTTCAAAGACACCCCACATAATAAAATATACACGAATCTAATTGTTTTTTAGAGACACCCCACATATGAATATTATAGTAAATCTGACTGTCTTTGAAAGACATCCCTTATATTAATATAAATATAAATCACATTGTCTTTCAAAGACACCCCACATCAGAATATAAAAATAAATCTAACTGCTAATGTAAAGACAACCCCACATCTACTGCAGCATAATTGTATCTCCTCAACAGCACGGTTCGCTTCAGCATACCCCTAAGGGGCGCTGGCTAGCTGCAGGCAGCTAGCTGCTAGCTGGAGCTAGCTAGCTGCTAGCTGAAGCTAGGTGGATACTATGTGCACCTAGCTAGCTGCTCGCTGCAGGTAGCCAGCTACCTACTGCAACTAGCTAGCTAGCTACCTACTGCGGCCAGCTAGCTAGCTACCTACTGCAGCTAGCTAGCTAGCTACCTACTGCACCTAGCTAGCTAGAGCGCGGGGAAACACCGATTAGAACGCAGCTCCGGTGTACAGGCATCTCGCATGCGGTCTTTTGGTTACTGCTGCATGCGCCCTTCATCGCTGCTTTCTTTGTTTTCCTCCCTGCAGCTGCTTGTCTGAATTTGCTGCACATTTGCATGGAGCTAGCTGCAGCGCTTAAACCCTAAACCCTAAACCCTAAAGCCCTGAAGTATGCCTCTGTTTGTGATGCCTCACTAAAACCCCCTCTCCTTTCTACTAGCCAGCTGTCTGTACACCTCAGAGGGAGTTGCTTGTTCTTCTATTACTTCTGAAAACAATAGAAAAGCGCTTTAAACACCGGTGGCATGCAGCGGCGAGATAGCCTTCTTTTTCGCTCCCGTTGTAGTGTATATACACCCAGAAGAAGGAAAAAAGAGAGCGTATACTGTTGCTGCAGCAGCAGCAGCAGCAGCTGCTGCTGCTGCTGCTCTCTAGATGCATGCGCCTACTACATAGCGCAGCAGCATGCATGAGGCGAATATAGAAGGGTGAAACGGATGAAATGAAAATCAAAAGAAATAGAATTAAAAATATAAATAAACAACAATTGAATTAATAAATTTATTTAGATTTTATTTAATATTTTATAGCCGGCAAAGTGTAAGCAAAGTGTAGGGCGGTGGAGGAGGGGGGTGGGTTGGGGCTGGTTGAGGGTTTATTCAGATGTCTTTACACTTAATTTTTTCTTTTTTTTAGGTTTTAAACAGATTATATATTTATTATTTATTCTCTTGCAGCTATAGAAGATTGAAGAAGTACGTATTCTCTTGTTTTTTTCTTCTTTCTACTTCTTCGCTGGTGGGAGCGCATGCAGAGTCAAGCAGCGCATGCATACTGAATAAACAAAAGAAGAATAACTCCAATAGCCAATATTGACATTTGAAAGGCTTACAACTGAACAGCAGCAGCAGCAGCAACAACAACAACAGCAACAAGAGCAGCAAGAGCCACCACAGCAGCAGCAACCGCAGCAACACAAATTGCGGCTGCAGCAGCACATTGGTAGGCATTCGGGATAGCAGAAGGCAGGAGGTAGATAATCTGCTGCTCCGCAGCAGCAGCAGCGGCAGCGGCGGCGGCTGCTGCTGCAGCAGCCGCTGCTGCTGCTTCCGCAGTCAAGAAATTGCTGCAGCAGCAAACGCAGCAAAACAATGATGGATAGCGATCATTCAGACGCGGTGGAGCGCAGCAGCAGCCGCCGCCGCAGCAGCAGCACCAGCAGCAGTGGGAGCAGCAGCAGCAGCGGCAGTGATAGACGAAACAGGGGCCGCAGCAGCAGCAGCAGGAGCAGCAGCAACAGCAGCAGAAGCAGAAGAAGCGGTGCGAGCAGCGAAGAATCTGATGGAGATGATTCATTTCTTAGAGGGGGCGAGGAGGAGGTGAGCCAAGGGTTTCGGGTTTAGGGTTTAGGGTTTAGGGTTTAGGGTTTAGGGTTTAGGGTTGTTTAGGGTTTAGGTTGTCTCCTTTATGCCTTTTTCAGGTGTCTGATGTGGAAGAGTTTTTGTGGGGTCGCCAGGGCTCTGCAGCAGCAGCAGCAGCAGATTCAGCAGGAAGCGACAACGATCTTCTAGAAGAGGCAGACTACATCCGAGGCGATGCTGCTGCTGCTCAAGGAGCCGGCGGTGCAGCAGCAGCAGATGAGGAGCGTCATACCAAGACATCAGCAGCAGCAGCAAGTGCAGCAGCAGCAGCAAGGACGGTGCTGCAGCAGCAGCAAAACAAAGATGCAACGATCTTTGATGAGGAGGCCCCTCCTTTCCTACGCCCTGTGCTGCTCCATGATGCAGCAGCAAGGCTGCGGAAGCAGCAGCTGCTGCTGGCAGCCCTCAACGACCTGACGCATGCAGAAGTTCGGCATGATGCAGCAGCAGCAGCAGCTGCTGCTGCTGCTGCTGCAGCTGCAGCAACAGCAGCAGCAACAAGCCATGAAACACCAGCAGAGGCCTCGCAGCGTCAGCAGCAGTTTCCATCAAGGCGGCAGAGCGCAGGAGCAGAATCGTCTTACCCACCCTCCCAGCAGCAGCAGCAGCAGCAGCAGCAGCAGCAGCAGCAGCAACAGCCGCAACAGCAGCAGCAGCAGCAGCAGCGGATGATGCTGAAAACACAAAATCCAAAGCTGGCTAGGATCATGCAGAGTGTCTTCGGTAAAAGTAAACCCATTGGCCGCTTCGGGGCGTACGGAGCGCAGCAAACAACAAAAACAGCAGCAGCAGCAGCAGCAAGTGCAGCAGCACCAACAGCAGCAGCAGCTGCAGCAGCAGGCGATCAGCAGCAGCAGGCTTCGGATTCCCACGCAGAAGGAAGGACGATGGGCGCTGCTGCACCAGCATCTCAAGGAACAGCAGCAGCAGCAGCAGCAGCAGCTGCTGCTGCTGCAGCAGCTGCTGCTGCACCGCAGCACGTGCCTACGGTGGAGCTGAGCATTTCCCCTGGTGCAGTGCGGAGTCTTAAAGATGCAAATTTGCTGCTGAAGAGAGAAGGCTGCAGCAGCGACAGCAGCAAGCAGCAACAGCAGCTCTACGACATCGAAGACAGCCACTTAGCCTATCAACACCCTCGCTTCTGCGCCTTTGCAATCTTTGTAAGATCTCAGCAGCAGCAGCAAAAGCAGCAGCAACGGCAGCAGCTGCGGAGGAAGCAGCAGCAAGTGCAGCAGTAGCAGTAGCAGCAAAAGCAGCAGCAGCAGCTGGAGTGCCATTAGAGAAGCAGCAGCGCAGTAGCAACAGCAGCAGCAGCAGTAGCAGTAGCAGCACTGGCACCAGGAGCAGCAGTAGCAGTAGCAGCAGAATCACGAACAGCAGCAGCAGCAACAACAGTAGAAGCAGCAACAAATTCTGCTGCTACAGTGCAGCAAGTTCAGTGGAGTAGGCAAGTGTCTCTAAGTGAGGTAGCAGCAGCACCAAGTTGTTTCTCAGCGGCAGCAACAGCAGCAATAGCAGCAACAGCAGCAGCAAGTTGTTTGAGCAGCAGCAGCAGCAGCAGCAGCAGCAGCAGCAGCAGGAGTCTCAAGTTGTCTTCAGCAGCAGCATCAGGTAGTTGTTGAGCAGCAGCAGGGAGTAGTGGTTCAACAAAAGCAGCAGATGCTTGCTGCTTGCTGCTGCAGGAAAAGGATTTAGTGCTGCGGTGTCTGCTGCCGCTGTGGAAGCGTCTTAATAGTTTGTATGATGAAGCAGAAGACAACATGGAGGAGCAGCAGCACCATTATATGCTGCTGCTGCAGCTGCTGCGCTGCCTCAGCTCCCTTGCTTCCCCACCCCCAAACGAATGGATCAAGGTATGTACACCCCCAGCAGCAGCAGCAACAGCTGCAGCAGCAGCAGCAGCGGGGCCCTCTCCTGCAGCTGCCGCTGCATTCTCGATGCAGCAACAGCAACAGCTGCACCGCTAGAGGGCTACTTGCAACGGCAGCAGGAGCAGCACGTGGAGCAGCAGCAGAACCACTGACACGGCAGCAGCAGCACGACCACCCCCAGCAGCAGCAGCAGCTGCTGCTGCAGCAGGAGTTTGCTGGGGTGTATGATGCATTTGTGTGCAGTTTTGGCTTAAGTTTGGGCCGGTGCTGAATAGTCAGAAGGCGTGGAAACAGCGAGTAAAGGAAATAGAGACAGATACAGCAGCAGCAGCAGGAGCAGCAGCAGCAGATGGGCTCGAAGGCCTCAACCCAGAAGAGAGACAAGCAGCACAAAATTTAATTGAAGAGGAGAGAGGCAAACGAAGCCACATCGTTAGCAAATACCTCGCCGGCATGCACGTAATACAAACGCACACAACCGTGCTGCTGCTGCTGCTGCTGTTGCTGCTGTTTCTGGCGCTGCTGTTGCTGCTTCTGGGCTGCTGCTGTTTCTGCTGCTGCTGCTGGGGCTGCCACGCCTGCTGTTTTCGTTCTTTCTTTCTGTGCCCTTCCGTTTTCTTCTCCTGCCTGCTGTGCAGTGGGCAGCAGCAGCAGCTACACTTCCTGCTGCTGCTGCTGCTGCTGCTGAATCTGCGGCTTCATTTGCTGCCGCACAACGCTAGAGTTTCGTTCTTACCGTCTCGCTAGTGCTTCTCCTCTTGCTGCTGCGACTGCTGCTGATGCGGCTGATTGAGCTTCACCCCATCCGCTGCTGCTGCTGCCGCTGCCGCTGCCGTTACTGCTGTTGCTGTTGCTGCTGCTGCTTTTGCTGCTGCTGCTGCAGAGGACGAAGGAGACGCTGAGTTGCGGCAGTTTGTGGCATCTCTTGTCGAAGTTTTACTTCGATCAAACAGACCTCGTTGAGAGGAGAGCACAGTGAGGCATCATTTGCTGCTGCTACTGCTGCTGCTTCTGCTGTTGCTGCTGCTGCACGCTGCTCCTTCTGGTGCTGCAGCTTGCTGCAGCAGCGGTAGCTGGAGCCGCGTAGGGGAACCGAAGGGGCAGTGCGGCGGAGGCTGTTGCTTCGCAGCTTCTGGCATCGTAGTTGTGTTTGCTGCTGCTGCTGCTGCTGCTGCTGGTGCTGTGCTGCAGCAACACGCCGCTGCAGCAAGAACTAAACAAACTCGTGGCGCAGCGGGAGTCTCTCTACAAGCGCGAAAAAGAATTAAAAGATGAATTGGCTGCTCTCCAGGAGGAGGAGACACCTGACGAAGATGCAGAAGGAGACAATCAGCAGCAAACACGAACTGCTGGCAGACTTAGAAGGGTACGTCTGGCTGCTGCTGCTGCACCAGCTGCTGCTGCTGCTGCTGCTGCTGCTGCTGCTGCTTTAGTTGGACTATGCTAGAATCTCCGGTCTACAGTCTTATGGTGCTGCTGCTGCTGTGCTGCCGCTGATTCTCTTTTGCTGCTACTGGTGTGCTGCTACTGCTGCTGCTGTTTGTTTTGCGGCGCCGTTTCTTCTGTTGCTGCTGCTGCTGCTGCTGCTGGTTTGTTGTGTAGGCCAGAACTGCGTTTGGTGGTGCTTGTCTGCATGCATCTGCTGCGGCGTGTTGTGTTTGTTGCTCTTTGCTGCTGCTTCCTTTTTTGCTGCTGCTTAGGGAGGAGCAGCAGAAGAAAAGAGACGGAGAGAGGCTTTAAGAGATCAGTTGGAGGCCATTAGAGACGAATTGTTTACACTCAGTGAAGCCATTGCTGCTGCTACACGCAGGTGCAACAGACACCCTTGCTGCTACTGCTGCTGTTGCTGCTGCTTCTGCACCGTGCTGCTAATGCCGCTGCTGCTGCTGGTGTACTGCGCTGCTGTTACTGCTGAAGCTGTACTCTGCTACAAACGCTGCTGCTGCTGCTGCTGGTACTGCTAATGCTGCTAATGCTGCTGCTGCTGCTGCTGTTTGTTTTCAGACTTCGTGATTCAGTAGACCGGGCTAAGACAGCCATCAGCAGCATCCAGCACTTCGTTTGCTCTGTTCTGGAGATGCCGACTGCAGCAGCAGCAGCAGCAGAAGTGCCGCCGTTTGTAGCGTCGCAGAAGCAGCTCAGACTTGTCAAGGCAATGCTGCAGCACGGGGTTGATAACAAGGTGTGCAGCTGCTGCTGCTGCTGTTCCCGCTGTTGTTGTTGCTGCTGTTGTTGTTGCGGTTGTTTTTCCTGCTGCTGTTCTCGTTGCTGCTGCTGGTATTGTTGCTGCTGCTGCTGTTGTTGCTGCTGCTGCTGTTGTTGCTGCTGGTAGGGTTGCGCTTGGCGTACAGACTGCCACATGTGCTGCCTACCGTTTGGGGATGCCGCGTAATGATAGATTGATGCGGCTTGCTGCTGCTTCTGCTGCTACTGCTGCTGTTGCTACTGTACCTGAATGTGGTGCAGCGGAGCAGCGTGCTGCAGCTGGTGCTGCAGGAGGTGCAGCAGCAGCTGTTTCCCCTGATGCAGCGCCAACTGGATCTTGAGGGTAGCAGCTACATTGCTGCTGCTCAGCGCGGTGCAGCTGGATCAGAAGGCGCAGCAGCAGCAGGAGCAGCAGAAGCAGAGGCAGCAGGAGAAGGTAGGGCTCTAGGCTGGTGGAGCATCACCTCTGTACACTCCGATTTAATGAAGAAGGTGTGGAGGGCCCTGAGGACGTTCTATGCTGTCGTCACCAGCCTGCCGCCGCTGCAGCTAGCTGTCTTCGTTGCTCAAGTAAGACAGCTCCTGTTGCTGCTGCTGCTGCTGCTGCTGATGCTGTTGCTGTTGTTCCTCTTGCTGTTGCTGCCGCTGTTGCTGTTGCTGTTGCTGCTGTTGCTGTGGCTGCTGCTGCTGCTGCTGCTGTGATGCTGGGGAAGCAGGCAGCAGCTTCGTGGTTTTCTCTCCGCTTTGCTGTTGGCGCATGCAGAATCAGCCGGAGATCCGCCGCATCTTCAAAGTTAACCCCAGCAGCAGCAGCAGCAGCAGCAGCAGCAGCAGCAGCAGCTCAAGGGGGAGTGAGGAGGCGCGTTTAGGGGGGGCCCTCCGGGGCGGTGCATCGTTCGGGGTCTCCGCTTTGTTAGAACATGAAAAGATGAAGCAGCAGCAGCTGCTGGAGTGGGGGAGGCAGGATCCGCTGCGGGCGAAGCAGCTGCTTCGGCAGCAGCAGCAGCTGCAGATGGAGAAGGAGCGACAGCGCGGTGTGCAGCACTTACCGTTTCTGCAGCCCCAGAAGGCAATTGATTATCCTCGTCTCTTTGGCTTCACGGATTTGCTGCTGCTTCCATTTGATGTAGAGGGAGACCTCGACTTGCTGCAGGACCAGCAGCAGCAGCAGCAGCAGCAGCAGCAGCAGCAGCAGCAGCAGCAGCAGCAGCAGCGTGGGTCTGGAGCAGCAGCAGCAGGAGGAGGAGCAGCAGGAGGAAAAGGCGATTCCGGGGGTTATAAGAGCAGCAAGGATTTGAGCGGCAGCTACTGCAGCAGCGATTGGCTGTATGTTGGGGGGGAGCCTCTGCTGCATGCGTCAGACGTGGAGTCTCTGCATTTGCTGCTGTGCGGGTTTATCGGGGTGTCTCCTTTCTTTGCTGCTCCTCTCAACCCAGAGACACATGAAAATGCTTTATATACAGGCAGACATTACTCCGCGGCGTTTCTTATTGAAGCTGCACTCAAAGATAAAATCAGAGGAGCTGATGCGGACCACCACAAGCCCTGGGATGCAGAGGTAGGCAGCAGCAACAGCAGCAGCAACAGCAGCAGCAGCAGCAGCAGTGAATGGAAGAGCTGCACATACACTCCACATAGCAGCTTCACCCCAAATGCGTGGGGCCCCACACTTAAGACATTTTGCTTTTCTTCTCTCTCTTCATTCTATAAATATAAATATAATTATCTTTTGCATTTAAGCACCCACTGAGGACAGCAACTCTAAACCCTAAACCCTAAACCCTAAACCCTAAACCCTTAATCAACGCGGAGGAGGGAGCATCAAGCACCTTCTAAAGATCCTCGAGGGCCCCCCTACATCATACGCCTTTGGGGGGCCCCTGAGGGGCCCCACATTTACCCTGTGGGGCCCCACATTTACCCTGTGGGGCCCCTAGGGGCCCTTTGTTTTGTGTTGATGTCTTGGGGAGGGGCCCTTCTCTCTGTGGCTGCGTTCAAAGAAGCTGTGAGATATTATTGTATTATGTATAGATTAATGAGAGCATATATACATATGCATATGTATATATATATATATTTATTTATTTATATTTATTATGTTTCTAGATATATGTATATTTACGTATACACATACACGCACACTTATATATATTCATATATAGATATGTATATATAAACATATATATGTATATATATATATATATATATTTATATATACATATATATATATATATATATATATATATTTGGGGTGTATGTACAGGTGCTGCTGAATTTGATTGCGTGGATATTTGCGTTTAACGTTCGATATTTCTCCGCCTCCAACATTTTAAGGCAGAAGGCCCGTGCGAAGCAGCAGCAGCAGCGCAAGCTGCAGCAGCAGCAGCAGCAGCAGCAGGAGCAGCAGGAGGGGGATGATTTGGCTGCTTGGCAGCGGCGTTGGGCGGAGCAGATGAATAAGTCGCAGCAGCAGGATGAGCAGCAGCAGCAGCAGCAGGAAGAGGAAGAGATCCAGCTGCTCGATCGGGTAGATATGATATTCTGCATGCAGGGCTTTGATACTTCTCTTATTCATACGTTTTTATTAGAGACACTGCAAACCTGCGTACGAGAAGATAAGCTAAACTATCGCAGCAGCAGTTTATGTGTTGCTGCTCTTCGATGTCTGAGGCAGCTGCTGCGGCTTATGGAGCTGCACGTAAGAAGCAGCAGCAAGGAGGTCTGTGCTGCAGTGCAGCAGCAGCTGGAGAGGTGGATAGGCAGCGGCATTGTCTCCGAGTTGTCTTATGTGCTGCGGCGCTATAAACCTCGCAGCACCAACCCTTATATATTTCTTTTTGCTGCTGAGTGTACACTGTCTCTTATATCTCTGCTGCAGCAGCTAGGTGGCTGTGTCTCTGCTAGTCTTGAGGGGCTTAAAATAAGAAAGAGTCGCAGGCCAGGGGGTGCAGCAGCAGCAGCAGCCTTCTGGGATGATGAGGAGACACTGCAGCAGCAGCAGCAGCAGCAGCAGCAACGCACTCGACAAGTTACCACTGATGATCTCCTCAGCGACTTCTTCAGAGGAGATATCATTCGAAACTGCATGTTCTTTGTAAGCTCCAAGGGTTTAGGGTTTCAAGGGTTTGTGGTTTTAAGGGTTTAGGGTTTAGGGTTTGAAGGGTTTAAATGGCCTAGGGTTTAGGGTTTAGAGGGTTTAGGGTTTAGGGGCTGGGGGTTGAAGGAGAGATTCAGGATCTAGGGTTTAGGGGTTTAGGGTTTAGGGTTTAGGGTTTGGGTGCAAAAGCGTAGCGACAGAGAGTTGGCTTTAGGGTTTAGAGAGTTTGGGGGGTTTAGGGTCTAGGGTTTAGGGTTTAGGATAGGACAAGAGATGAGGAGACACAGGGAGACAGACAGCGGCAGAAAGAGACAGAGACAGGAGACAGCAAGGAGACAGAGAGAGACAGAAGAAAGAGACAGAAGGAGACAGAAAAAGATTTGTGCAGAGTTAAGGAGACACCTGAGGAGACACCCGATAGCCCCACAGGAGACACATATTTATCTCTTTTGTTTGTTCGCTTGTCTCTGTCTCTGTTTGGATGTTTTATTTGTTTTGTTTGTTTTGCTTATTTGTTTGTTTTATATCTTCTTAGTTTGTATTGACGCCCCTAGGGATATATTTCTTTTCCTTTCTTTCTCTTTTATTTATTTATTTATTTATTTATGTATTTATTTATTTTATTTATTTATTTATATTCAGATAAGCCGCTACCGATCAAACCCTTTGTCTGTTAATGTTGGTTTAGTAGCAATGCTGAGGCAGCTGCTCGATTATAGGAAAAGGCCTCAAGAAAATGTTTGCGTTTTCTTCGATATTTCTTCTTTTCTTGTCTTTCAACAGCTTCTAAATGACCCTCAGGTTAACTAACTAATTAATTAATTTATTTATTTATTCACTTATTAACTAATTATGTTTATTCTTTTGTAAATGTATTAGATGCCTGCTGTCATATATATATATATATATGCATATACATATATATATATATATATATATATATAGCGTCTAAGCCTCTTTTCCTGTCTAGTTGTGTGCATTCATATCTATATTTCTATGTGCCTATATATCTGTATCTATGTATATATATATATATATATATCTGTATCTATGTATATATATATATATACACGTATCTGTTAATGTATGTTTGTCTATATCTATAGCTATTTTTATGTATATATATTATTGGGCAGTGTCTGTTCAGTTTATTTATCTATTTATTTATTTATTTGTTTGTTTTTTTAATTAGCTATTGTATTCTTTCTTGCACACTCCGCTGGCTTCGACTGTCTCCTTCCCGGTGTCTCCTTATTTGGGTGTCTCCTTTGTTGTGGTGTATCCTCTCTGCTGTATTTTTATCTCTGTCTGTTTGCTATTTATCTGTTTATTATGCTGCTGATGCATCTCGCCTCTTCTATGTTTTTCTATTTTGTCTGTCTCTTTTTTTTCTTTGCTTGTTCTTGTGTCTCTCTGCCCGTTGTCTTCTCTCTGTCTCTGTTTGTCTTTATTGTCTTTAGACTCTGTCTTCTGTCTCCTTATTATGCTGTCTCCTTTCTATGATTGTGTGTGGTGTTCTTCTGTCTCTGCTCTGTATCTGTCTCTTCTTTTTTTATTTTTTGTGTTTTGTTTGTCTCTCTTTGTTTGCATCTTATCTCTGTCTCTTTATGTCTGTCTCTTTTTGTCTGTCTCGTATTTTATGTCTCCTCTCTGTCTTTGTCTTTAATCTGTCTCTTCTTCTCTGTGTCTGTTGCTTCTGTTTATAATTGTTTGTATATATTTTTTGTTTTTGTTTGTCTGCAGCTGACGCTCAACCCAAACTACTTCTTTTTAGGAGACCTTGCTGCATATGTTGTAAAGGCTTTCTTTCGTCTATGGCGAACAAACTGTCTCCTTCCTGTGGAGTTACTCTTTAGCAAGCAAAGGGCCCCTCAAACACTTGTCTCTTGCAGGGCCCCCTCTTCTGCTGCTGCTGCTGCAGCAGCAGGGGGAGGAGAAGCAGGCGGCGATGCGGAAGCAGCAGCAGCAGCAGCAGCAGCAGAGGATGCAGCAATGACGCAGCAGGATTTCTGGTGCCCTGCGTCTCTTCCAGCGCTGCAGTCTCTTAGCAGCAACTACAGCAGAGGCATCGATGCTAAGGTGCAACAGCAGCTGCAGCAGCTGCCACACCTCGAGCCGCAGGATGCCTTGAGAGTAGCAGCAGAAGAAGCAGCAGCAGCAAACGGGAGACACAGAGACAGCACTGCAGCAGGAGCATGGACCCATGAAGAAGACTGCATGCTGCTGCAGTTCTTCGAACAGTTTAGGGGTGTCAGAGACTATTACACCTACATTGCAGGTAAGCAGCAGCAGCAGAAGCAGCAGCAGCAGCAAAGGCAGCAGCAGCAGCTGCAGCAAAGATAGCAGCAGGGGCAGCAGTAGAGGGAGCAGCTGAGGTAGCAGCAGAGCCAGCAGCAGAGCCAGCAGCATATGTAACAGCAACAGCAGCCGAGGCAGCAGGAACAGCAGCAAGAGACAGGAAGGGTGGGGTTGTTGTTATTGTGTGTTCGGGTGTACACAGAGCTTATGGGTAGACACCCTAAAGCTGTGCGGAAGAGACTGCAGCAGCTGAGAGCAGAGAACGAAGGAGACACTGCAGCAGCAGCAGAAGACGAAGAGGAGACAGCAATGCCTCCAGAGGAGACATTTAAAGATGCACACGGCGAAGTGAGTATATAAGGAGACACCTAAAGACAAGTACAACTAAAGGAGACAGAAAAAGACTGCAAGGGGACACTTAAAAACAATTGCTGCGGAGAAAAAGATATGCATACATATATACATATATATAATATATATATGTATATATATATATATATATATATATATATATATATATATAGAGAGAGAGAGAGAGAGAGAGAGAGAGAGAGTAGAAGCAAGAGATAGGGGAAGAGACAGAGACAGAGCGAGAAGGAGACAGAGACCGACGTATACACACCCATCGATGACAGAGACAGATATCAATACGGCAGCAGAGTCAGACGCACATGAAGATAGCCAAAGGAGACAGAAGGAAGAGACCCAGACAAACACCCACAGCTGCAGCAGCAGCAGAAGCAGCAGCTGCAGCAGGAGCAGCAAGAGACCTGAACAGCAAGAGGAGGCGTGATACGTTGCGTGCCCCTCTGGTGCCTGTACAATTGATGCTTGTGCTTCATTTGTGCTGCTTTGCTGCTGCTGCTGTTGCTGCTTTTGTGTCTCTTTAGGAGCTCAAAGGGTCTCCTGCTGCTCTTGCTGCTGCAGTGCTGGCATTTAGAAAGAAGGATTGGCGGGCCTTCTGTGCTGCAGCAGGAGACAGCGAGGAGACAGTTGGTGCTCGCGTTTCATACAACGCAGAGCGTCTTCTTGAGGGTGTTGCTGCTGCAGTTAGGGACGCCTGCAGGCTGAAGAGACAGCTGGAAGAGACGCTGGGCTTTGGCAGCACAGCAGCAGCAGCAGGAGAGCAGGTGAACGTAGAAGAGCCTGCTGAGGCCCCGCTCCCGCTGCTAGACAGCGCAGAGTTTGCTGCTCTTATGGAGGCCCTCAACTGCAGCAAGACAAAAGGAGACACTTCCTGGTGTCTCCGTACAGACAGGCCTTATGAATACCTCGTTGCGATGGTGGATCGACTTGAGCTTCTAACCTCACGCAGTCTGCAGGTTTGCTGCTGCTGCTGCTGCTGCTCTTGTTGCTGAAACTGCTGTTGCTGTTGCTGCTGCTGTTGCTGCTGGTGTTGCTACTAGTGTTGCTGTTGGTGCTGTTGGTGCTGCTGGCGCAGTTGCTGTTGCTGCTGCTGGTCTGTGTGCTGTTTTGTTGTTGCTGCTGCTGCTGGTGGGTGTCTCTTCGTGACGGAGACAGCTGCGGATGGTTCGTTGTGTCTGTCTCCTTCTCTTAAGGACTTGGAAGCAGAGCAACAGAAGAGGAGACAAGAGAAGCAAAAGAAGAGACAGAAGGCGAGGAGCTTCTTGTTCCGGAGTGCTCCTCTAGCTGGGGGCCTCATAGAGTTTCAACGCCGCGTGCTCGACCTGCAAACAGCAGCAGCAGCAGCAGCAGCAGGAGACAGTTCGGGTCTCTTCGCGGATGATCAGAGCGCCAAACAGGCAGCAGCAGAAACAGCAGCAGCAGCAGCAGCAACAGCAGGTCGAGAGCCAAAGGAACTCCTCGCTGATCTTCTGGGCTCCTTCCGAGCATTGCTGCAGCAACTAGAGACACCGCCAGCGCAGCAGCAGCAGCAGGAGCAGCAGGAGGAGGAGCAGCAGCGCGTGCTGCCTGTAGCTTCTCTTAGTTGGTTTGCAGCGCTGCGTAAAGAAAGGCCTTTGAGGAGACTGCTTTGGTTAATGGGGCTTGAAGCAGAAGAAGGAGACACCTGCACTCGCTGGGTGCTGCCTGCTGCTGTCTCCGCCTCCACCTGGCGGGATCGTCTCCACGTCTTCGATGCAATGCATGCGAAGACACTCGATGTGAGAGACACCCTCTACATAGCTAGCTCCATACGCAGCTAGCTAGCTAGCCCCAGCTGCAGCTAGCTAGCTAGCTGTACGCGCAGCTAGCTAGCTAGCAAGCTGGCCAGTTATCTAGTTGCATGCGTAACTAGCTAGCTAGCTAGCGGATGAGCCAACTAGCTGCAGCTAGCTAGCCAGCGGGGCTAGCTAGTTAGGTATGAAGCTAGCTGGCTGGCTAGCTAGCTATCTATGGTAACCTTATCTGCAGAAATGCCTCATAGAGAGGAGCAGTTGAAATGAAGCGAAATCTGCTTTTGCGAGTCGAGTGTCGTAGCTAGCTAACTAGCTGTCTAGTTAGCTAGCTAGCTAGTTGTCTAGCTAGCTAGCTAGCTGTCTAGCTAGCTAGACACTGTGTTGCTGCGGGGTTGGTGTCTCTTGTTATGCAGGACCTAGAGATGCTTGTAGAAGACATCCGCCCGCGAGAAAGGGAGACAGGTGGAGAGCGGCGAGAAGGAGACAGAAGAGAGAGAGGAGACAGAAAGAAGGGGAAGAGACACAAATCGAAGGATAAGGGCACCGCAGCAGCAGCAGCAGCAGCAGATGAGAGACCCGTAAGAATAAAGAGCTACCCTCCAAAGCCTACGCTGCAGCAGCAGTTTGTGCTGGTTCAGAAACTCTTAGAATGGAGACAGTTTGTTGAGTCACAAGAGATGGGTGAAGTTGTGGGGGCTGATGAACAGCTGCTGCGCCTCGTCAGCTGTCTAGACACCTGGGTTTGCCGCCGTGCTGCTGCAGCAGAAGCAGCAGCAGCACAAGCCGCTGACCTCTCGGAAGAGGCAGCAGCAACAGCAGCAGCAGCAGCAGACAAGGCTGTGGGGAACCTCGTGGTGACCCAGCACGGGGGAGCCGGAGACGAGGAGGAGAGGGGATCGGGATCGGGATCGGGATCGTGGGGTCGGGGGCGTCTCCCCACAACTGTGCAGGCGCTGTGGGTTTGTGCTGCTCTGGGGGGACAGCCAACTGTGGGGAGCGACAATAAGAAGTGGATCTGGCTAGCAGATTCAGATCTCTTGCCTGTCTCCTGGCTGAAAAGACAGCTGAAGCTGCTACTCAAAGCGTTAACAGACCCTAGGCTCAGCACTGCAGCAGCACTGAAAGAAGAGGCAGACGCACTTGCAGAGTTGGTGCAGCAACAACAGCAGCAGCAGCAGCAAGAAGAAGAAGAACGGCAACGCAAGATACAGGAGGAGCAGCAGAAACAGCAGGAGGAGCTGCAGCAGAGAAGGAGACAGAAACGCAAGCAAAGGAGACACAAAAAAGAGGAATATGAGGAGGCTTCCGAGGCGTCTGACAGCAGCAGCAACAGCAACAGGAGCAGCAGCAACAGCGATGCTGCTGCTGACGAGGAGGCAGACCATGCAGAAGAAGTGTCTCCTCAGCGCAGCCGCAGGCGCAGCAAGAAGAAGCAAATCAACGAGGCTGAGGAAACCAGCGAGGAGACAGCTGCTGCTGCAGCTGAGCCGCCCGACGCCGCGGAGGAAGTAGCAGAGGCCGAGGCTGCAGCAGCAGCAACAGAAACAGCAGAAGCAGCAGCCACAGCAGAAGCAACTGCAGCAGAAGCAACTGCAGCAGCAGAAAGATCAATTCCAGGGTCTTCAGCAGCAGGAGCACCCGCAGCGCCCGCTGCTGCTGCTTCTTCTACTGCAGCAGCAGCAGAAGCAGCAGCGGATGAGGACGATGCCTTTGCAGCCTGGATACGCGGCACCGTAGAGGCCAGAGGAGACACATCAACTGCTGCTGCTGCTGCTGCTTTGCTGCCTGAAGGCATCAAAAAGTTTGTGGCGGAGACGGAGAAGGAGAAACAGCAGCAGCAGCAACAACAACAGCAGCAGCAAAAGCGCATGCTGACGGATGATGTCGGTGCTCCAGCGGATATGATGGAAGAAGATGTCCAGTCAGCAGCAGCAGCAACAGCAGCAGCAGCAGCAGCAGCAAATGTTGAGGAGCAGCAGAGCAGAGCCAAGAAGGCCCGAAAGGCACCCAACCCAGAAGAGCTTCGCGAGCTGCTGCAGGACTGCTACCGCATAGTGGAGACAGGGGTAAGTTGCAGGAGCCGCACTGCATGCAGCAGCAGCAACAGCACTAGCAGCAGCAGCAGCAACAGTAACAGCATCTGCGACAAGCGGGCAGCAGGAGCAGTAATAGCAGCAGAGGCAGCGCCAGCAGTAGCACCAGCAGCAGCAGCAGCAGCAGCGGCAGGGTTTTGCTGTGGTGTGCTTTATGTGTGTGAACAGCAGCAGCAAAAGCTGCAGCAGGAGACAATTGCAGACTTCCTGGGCAAGGACAGATTAAGGGGACCTTCAGCGCTGCGGCGTCTGCTGCAGCAATCGTAGGGCTCCTGCTGCTGCTACCCTAGCAGCAACAGCAGCAACAGCAACTGCAGCGGCAGGCGCTCCTGCTGCTTGCTGCTCCACGTGCTGCTGCTGCGCTGGTTAGTTGTGCAGCGCGCTGAGAAGCAGCATTCGTTTCTGGTCAGCCTGAGCTAGCTAGCTGGCTAGCTAGCTGGCTAGTTAGCTGGTTAGCCAGATGGCTAGTGCTTAGCTAGCTGGCTAGCTAGGTGCCTAGCTAGCTGGCTAGATATGTTTCTAGCTAGCCTTCTATTTAGATTACTAGCTACCTCGTTAGCTAGCTGTCTTGGTAGCTGGCTAGATAGTTACCCAGCTAGCTTGCTAGCAAGCTAGCTATCTAGCTAGCTAGCTAGGTGGGTTAATGTTTGTAGCGATCAAGTGCTGTCCCCTCGAAGGCGGCAGCAACAGCAAGTGAAGACAAGGAGACATTTGGAGTGTCTCTGCTGCTGCTGAGGGGCCAGAGTAACGGTTGCTGCTGCAGAGGAGAAGAGAGAGAAGGTTTTAAAGTGTGTCTCCTCTCACCTGCCTCCTCAACTATGTAGTCTAGTCATACAGAATGTCTCTTAAGTACTGTTGCGCTGCTGTTGCTGCTGCTGCGCTGCTGCTGCTGCGCTGCTGCTGCTGCGGAGAGAGCAGCAATTAGGCGTATGCAGCGAACTTCCTAGCGCATGCAGCGGAGACTGTGGGGCTGCAGCTTCGCATGCAGCTGGGGCCGGTGTTGTATTGTAGCTGCAGCAGCAGCAGCAGCAGCAGCAGCAGCAGCTACAATACAACACCGGGCCTGCGGCAACCCCAGCGCAGCTGACGTCCACTGAGACAATTTTTATCTATCCTGAGACCGTCAGGTTTACAATCTCTCGGGCTGTGGCTAGCTGTAGCTAGCGGTAGCTGGCTGTAGCTAGCTGTAGCTAGCTGTAGCTAGCTGTAGCTCGGCACAGCTAGCTATAGAAGACAGCGAGAGAGACTGAGAGAAGGTAGAAACAGCACTGAGAAGCAGCAGGCGCACGCCTTCTGTTGTGTTTGGGTCTCTCTTTAACTGCTGCAGTGGTGCATGCATCTCAATTACTTGTTTTTATGTTTCTTGTGCTGAGGCTATGAGGCCTGCGGTGTCTATCTTCTTTTGCTGCTGCTCCTGTTGTTGCTGCTGCTGCTGCTGCTGCTGTCTCCTTGCTCGTGTCGTATCTCTTCTGCGTCAAACTGTCTCCTCCCGGACGTCCCTTCACGCTGTGTCTTTTGAAGTGTCTCCTTTTAGGTGTCTCCTCCCCATGCCTCACTTTCTAAGTGTCTCCCTCGAAGTCTCTTCCTTTATAAGTGACCCCCTTTAACTGTCCCTTTTAAGTGTCTCTTCCTTAAAGTGTCTCCTTCGTCGCGTCCCCTTCAACGTGCATCCTTCAAACCTAGAGTGTCTCCTTTCTGAGGTGTCTCCTAAGGTGTCTCCCTTCTATGGTGTCTCCTTTCTGAAGTGTCCCCCCTAGAGTGTCTCCTTTTTAAAAGTGTCTCCTCTCTAGGGCACCTCTTTAAAAGTGCCTCCCTAAAGCTGTCTCCTTTTTCTGAAGTGTCTCCTCCTTAAAGTGTCTCCTTTTCCTATGCCAAGCAGCACAAGTGTCTGTGCTGAAAGAGCTGCTGGGGGCTCAACAGCAACAGCAGCAGCAGCAGCAACAGCAGGGCCAGTACGATGGGCAGCAGCAGCAGCAGCAGCACCGGTACGACGGGCAGCAGCAGCAGCAGCACACAAGGGACAGCCTGTAGCTGAGGAGGGGGAGAGGAGACAGAAGAGACAGCAGATTCTCTCTAGAGAGACAACAGAGTCTGTCTCCTCTGAGTTGCAGCGCTTTTCGCTGAAGCTGCTGCTGCGCAGCAACAACAACCCCAGCAGTTACTTTATTTACTTAGGCCCCTCAACCCCCCCCCTTCTGCTGCATGCACAAACAGACCTTAATAAACAATTACTATTGCCTGTCTCCTTAGTCTCAGCAATCAGACAGTAAGAAAATAAAAACAAAAAATTATAACTCATAATGCAGTGTGGGCCCCACACTGCAGCAGGGGCAGCAGCGACCAGCAGCAACAGCAGCATGCTGCTGCTGGCCTGCTGCTGCTGCTGCTCGTAATGCTGTTGCTAGCTTCCTACGTCAGCTAAGCTGCCCAGAAGAGCTGCTAGTCGCAGCTAGCTAAGTGCAGCTAGCTATAGCTAGCTGCTACCTCCCCTCAACCTGCTGCAGCTACCGTGTGGGGGGGGGGAGTAAGGAGGACCCCTAGTGCTGCTGCTGTCTCTTTTGGTGTTGCAGCACATGCAGAGACAGCATAAAGTAGAGACACTCGCAGGAGACAGAGCGGAAGACGCAGCATCAGGTGTACGTACACCTGAACACCTGAGATCAGCATGCAACCAACGCAGTTGCTGGTTATTTCTTAATTTAAACTCAATAAATACTTTTAATAATATTTGCTGCTACTTCTTTGCGAGTGTGCTGCAGCGAGAAGGCTGCAGCAGCAGCCAGGTCTTCTCTCCAGCCCTACAAGGAGCAGCTGCAGCGGCTGTTGCAGCAGCAGCAGCAGCAGCGGAGATACCTGCATAATGTGTTAGTATTTCTTCTTTTGTGTATTATTGAGTGTGTATACTCTTCCCTTTCAGGTGTACGTACACCTCAGCCTCTCCTGCTGCTGAGCCTGCAGCAGCCGCCTCCCTCTTGGGGCTGCTAACTCTGAAGAATCGACATACAAAATGAAGTTATTGTCTCTTCGTCTGCAGCGCAGGATCGGATCCCACGCGCTGCTGCAGAACGGGGGGGTCTTGCTGCGGCAGCTGCAGCTGCAGCAACAACAGCAGACCCAGCTGCAGCAACAGCTGCAGCAGCAACAGCAGCAGCAGCGACAGCCGTTCTTCCGGCACGCAGTGGATGCTCGAGCTGAGGGGTGGGGCGGGTGTGTCACGTTTCAGCATCAGCAGCAGCAGCTGCTGCTGCGGCAGCAGCAGCAGCAGCAGAAACAACAGCAGCACCGCAAAGGGGGGTCTGCTGCTATGGCTTCTGCTGCTGCTGCTCTTTGTTTTGCTGCTACCGGCAAAAGAAGAGAAGTGAAGTTGGGGGATGTGGGGGACTTTCCAGAAGGAGGGGTCTATGAAGTGTCCGTCAATGAAGGTGAGACGCGAGGCGCATGCAGCAGCAGCAGCAGCAGCAGCAGCAGCAACAGCAACAGCAGCAGCAGCAACAGCGAGAGCAGCAGCACCAGGAGCAACAGAGACTGCAGCAGCAGCAACAACAACAGCAGCAGCAACAGCAACAGCAGCAGCAGCAACAGCAGGAGAAATACCTGCAGCAGTAGCACGCAATTCATTTTGCTCCACGGCTCACGCAGCTGCAACGGGAGGAGGCCCTTCTGCTGCTGCTGCTGCTGCAGCTGCTGCTGTTGCTGCTGCTGTGAGGCGCGGTGCCATTGTTGGGTCGTTGCAACCGCGGCATTTGTTTAAGAAACCCTCACGCTGCTGCTGCTGCTGCTGTTGCTGCTGTTGCTGCTGCTGCTGCTGCTGCAGGAAAGGACAAAGTGTTGGTTTCTCATGTGGGGGGCTCCTTCTACTGTACGGGATCGACCTGTCCCCACTACGGCGCTCCGCTAGTTAAAGGCAAGTCAAAGCGCAGCATCTATTAGTAGCCAGCTAGCTATCCAGCTAGCTGGCTAGCTAGCTAACCAGCTAGCTGGCGAGCGACCTAGCTAGCTGGCTGGCTGGGTGGCAGCGCAGCTAGCTAGCTAGCTATCTCCCTGGCTAGGTGGATAGCTGGGGAGTCGCCGGTTCAGTGGCAGCTAGATAGCTAGCTAGCTAGCTAAACCGCTTAGCTAGCTAGCTGCTCCCTTCTCGTTGCAAGGTTGTTGCCCAGCTAGCTGGATTGCTGATTGGCTGGCTAGCTAGCTACCTGCAACGCCTTTGGGGAAGCGGGGAGACAGAGCAGCGCGAAAGGGGGTGATGTTGGTGCTGCTGTTGCTGCTGCTGCTGCGATTTGATGCGAGGGTTAAGCGGGCGTCTCTCTTTGACTTTGTGGGGTTCTTCTTTTTACTTTCAGGTGTACATACAGCAGAGCACCTTACTTGTCCGTGGCACGACGCAAAGTTTGACCTGAAGACGGGCAAATGCATTGGCGGTGCGTCCCCTTTGAGGTGTCTCCTTTGGGATCGTGTGGGGTCGTGTGGGATCGTGTGGGGTCGTGTGGGATCGTGTGGGGTCGTGTTATTTGGGATCGTCTCCAGAGTGCAATTAGACTCCCCTAGAGGTGTCTGCATTGGGATCGTGTGGGATCGTGTTGGCTGGGGTCGTCTCCAGCTTCCAGCTGCGCCCCCGTAACACTTTAGAGACACTTTAAAGCCACCGTAGCGGAAACACTTTAAAGGCGTCCTTAAAGCACTCAAAAGGCCGCTTTGGAGACACCTCGGAGACGCCCTGGAGTAACTGTGGGGACCTCGGGAACTGTCTCTGCTGCTGTTACGGTTACTGCTGCTGATGCTGCTGCTGCTGCTGCTGCTTAGGGCCCGTTACTCAGGGCATCCGTACTTACCCTGTGGAGGTGAAGGGCTCAGGGCTGTTTGCCTCGCTGCCAGAAAGACTCGAAGATGAGGGGCCCTCTCCGGTTTGCTGCTCCCACAGACCCGACACAGTAAGCAGCGACAGCAGCAGCAGCAGCAGCAGCAGCAGCAGTATAAAAAGCACTTCACAGCCAGCACCAGCCGCAGGGAGAGGAGCTTGGATGTGCGCTGCAGCTGGCATCAGCTAGCGAGATAGCTGGGTAGCTGCCTCGCTAGCTGGCTAGCTCGCTAGATAGCTGGCTGGTTAGCTAGCTGGCTAGCTGAGGCAGGCGAAGTCGTTGGGTCTCTTTGCAGGCATTTAAAGACAAGACGTTTGTTGTTGTTGGAGGGGGGCCCGCTGCACTTGCTGCAGTGGAGGAGCTGCGAGCGCTCGGCTTCAAAGGTATTCTGTCTCCTTTGTCTCCTCTCTGTCTCCTGTCTGTCTCCTCCTCTGTCTCCTTCTCCGTCTCCTTCTCTGCCTCCTTTCTGTGTCCTCTCTGTCTCCTTTTTGTCTCCTCCCTGTTTCCTTTTTGTCTCCTTTCTGTCACCTGTCTGTCTCTTTTCTGTCTCCTCTGTCTCTTTTCTGTCTCCTTTCTGTATCTTTTCAGTCTCCTCGCTTTCTCCATTCTGTGTCCCTTCTGTCTCCTTTTCGTGTCCTCTCTGTCTTCTCTCTGTCTCCTTTCTGTCTCCCTTCTTCCTCCTTTATATCTCCTTTTTGTCTCTTTTCTGTCTCCTTTCTTTCTCCTTGTGTCCCTCCTCCGCCGTACAGTGTCTCCTCAGTGGTCTCCTGTCTCCGTCGGATCCAAACAGCAACCACCCCTGTTGCTGCTGCTGTCTGCTGCTGCTGTCTTCTGCTTTTTGCTGCTGCTGCTGCGTGGTGCTGCTGCTGCGTGGTGCTGCTGCTGCTGCTGCTGCAGGTCGCCTGGTGATGATAAGCAGGGAGGATATGCCTCCCTACGATCGAATTGTCTTAAGCAAGAACCTCAAATGCGAGCCCCAAAACAGTCAGTTCTCTCCCCCTCTCCCCCAGTTAGCCAGCTGGCTAGCCAGCTAGCTATGCACATACCTAGCCAGCTAGCTATGCAGTTAGCTAGCTGGTGCCAGTGGAGGGGGTGCAGTTGCAGGATGCATTTAGCTGCAGCGGTGTCCTTGACTGGAGGCTTTCCCTTTCCCTGTGCTGCTGCTGCTGCTGCTGCTGTTGCTGCAGTCTTGCTGCGCCCTACGGAGTTTCTAACGGAGACACTGAATACTGAGTTGCGGCTGGGGGAGACAGTTGAGCGAGTAGATGCAGACAAGCAAACCCTCAAAACAAATAAAGGAGACGTTCTTCATTATGACAAGGTTGGTGTTCATTTGCTGCTGCTGCTGCTGCTGTCTTCTGGTGCTGCTGCTGGTGTCTGCTACTGTTGCTGATTTCTGCTGCTGCTGCTGCCGATGCCTGCTGCCTGCCTGCTGCTGCTCTGTGCTGCTGCTCCTCCTTTCTGCTGCTGATTTGCAGCAGCCAGTGGTTTGTCTCTGTCACTCTCTTCCATTCGGGTGTCTCCTTGCGTTGGTTTGTCTCTTAATGCTTTGCGGTGTCTCCGTTTGCCTTGAACTGTCTTTTGAGGCTCGTGCTTGCTGCAGCAGCAGCAGCAGTAGCAGCAGCGGCAGTGGTGTCTCCTTTCGCGTGTATCAGTGTTTGTCTTTGCTGCTGTCTCCACCGATGTCTCTGTTGTTTGTTAATATATCTTCGTATTGTGTTTATATTAAGTTTAAGGCAGTCTGTATCTCTTTAGATCTCCGTCCTACTGTCTCTGCCTTTTTGTCTCTGCTGTCTCTCTTTTTGTCTCTTCTTATCTCTATGTATGCCTCCCTCATTGTTCGTCTTGTAGCTGCTGCCTCTGCTTCCTTCCCTTTTGTCTCTCTTGCTCTATTATCTGTCTCTTTTTCTGTCTCCTTTCTGTCTCCTGTCTGTCTCCTTTCTGCCTCTTTTATGTCTCCTTTCTGTCTCCCTTGTGTCTCCTTTCAGTCTCCTCTCTGTCTCTCTTATCTCTCCTCCTTCCTCTTTTCTTATCCCTCTTCTGTCGCCTGTTCTGTCTCGTGTTGTCTCCTTTCTTTTCTCTCTTTTTTGTGTCTCTTTGCTTATTTTTTTCTGTCTTCTGCTGTCTCCTTTATTCCTCTCCGCCTCTGTCTTGCTGCTGTCTGTCTCTTTGAATATTTTTGCTGCTGTGTGTGTTAATTGTCTCTTTGTCTGTCTAAGCGTATCCTTTTACTATAAGAAGGTAATATATTTGCTGGTTTGTGTGTCTCTTGGGTGTATATGTATGCAGCTGCTGCTGTGTACAGGCAGCTGCGTGCGACGCTTAACAGGGGTAGAAGGAGAGAATGCCTCAGGTGTATATTATTTGCGGTGTATGGAGGACTTAAAGGCTATGCGCACATCTCTTTTCTTTGATATTAATACAGCTGCTAGCTTAAAACATGTTGTTCTAGGTTCGTCGTTTATAGGTGTTGAGATTGCAGCAGCTTTAAAGAAAGTTGGTGTTAGAGACATTACTGTTGTTGGCAGGGTAAGTAAGAGAGGAGACACTGCAGCTAAGAGATAATATCTCTTTACTTCTTCTCTATCTACCCTCTTTCCTCTCTCCTTCTTTAGTCTCTTGCCTGTCTCCTCCTTTATCTTCTTTGCTGTCTCCTTTTCTATCTTCTTTGCTGTCTCCTCCTCTATCTTCATCGCCTCATATAAGAGACGAATAGAGGTGGTGAGGAGACAGTATAATCTAATTATATATGTATATATATATATACATTATACAGACAATATACATATATATATATATATATATATGCTGCTGTCTCTTCAGGAGTCTGTCCCTTTGGAGACAGTTTTGGGGACTCGCGTTGGCGGGGCATTTAAAAATTTGTTGGAGACAAACGACGTGCAGTTCATCCCGCAAGAAGAGGCAACGCAGATCATGTCTGTTCTCATTGCTGCTGCTGCTGCTGCTGCTGCTGCTGCGGGGTTGCTGCTGCTGGGTTGCTGCTGCTGTTACGTTGCTACAGCTGCTGCTGCAGACTTGCTGCTGCGCTCTTCCCGTGCTGCATTTGCTTCTCCTATTGCCGCGTGCGCGATGCTCTTACTCCTTTAATGTCGCTGCTGCTTCTGCTGCTGCTGCTTCTGCTGCTGCTGCTGCTGCTGCTGCAGCACGAGGGAGGGGAAGGTGACGGGGGTGAAGCTAAAGAGCGGTAGAGTTTTAGCTGCTGATCGCGTTATTATTGGTGTGGGCGCTGTCCCCGAACTTCCTTCAATTGAAAGCAGCAAAAAAATCAAAGAAGGCAGCCGAGGGGGTCTCCTTGTTGATGCCTTTCTCAGGTATGCAAATAGGAAGGGTGCTGTCTCTTCTCTCTGTCTCTTGCTGTCTCTTCTCTCTGTCTCTTGCTGTCTCTTCTCTCTTTCTCTTGCTGTCTCTTCTCTCTCCTTTGCTGTATCTTCTCTCTCTTTTGCTGTATCTTGTGTCTCTTTTGCTGTCTCTTCTCTCTGTCTCTTGCTGTCTCTTCCGTCTCTCTTTTGCTGTAAATAGAAGTTTGCATCCTTCCCTTTGTATATATATATGCATATATATATATATGTATATATATATGTAATATATATATATATACATATATATATATGGGCATACAATATATTATGTACATTGCATACCTACATAGTTGTGTATATATTCGCTAATATTACTATATTATATATATATATATTTGTTTGTTTGTTTTTGTGTTTCTTTGTTTATTCTTCTTTTCTCTTTGGTTCTCCTTCCGCGTGCGATGTCTCTGAGCGTCTCTCGCTGGTAGTGTCTGCTTTAGAAGTTGCTGCTGCTGCTGCTGCTGGTGTTGCTGCTTTTGCTGCTGCTGCTGCTGCTGTTGAAGGTTTTATGTCTGCTGCGCTGCTCTGTGGGGTCTGCAGCTGCCCCTCTCACCCCAATATTTTTGCTGCTGGAGACATCGCTAGCTTTCCCTATGTAAAGACAGGTGAATGAGGGAGACTTCTGCTGTCTCCTTTTCTGTCTCCTCTCTCTTATCTCCTTTGCCTATCTCTGTCTCTGTCTCCTTTTCTGTCTCCTAGTTCTGTCTCCTTGTCTGTCTCCCGTCTCCTGTCTCCTGTCTCCTTTTCTGTCTCTTGTCTCCTTCTGTCTCTCATTTTCTGACTTCTGTCTCCTTTTCTGTCTCTTTTGCCGTCTCCCTTTCTTTCTCTTTTTTCTGTTTCCTTTTCTGTCTGCTGTCTCCCTTTTTGTCTCCTTACGCCACTGGCCCATCTGCTGCTGCTGCTGCTGCTGCTGCCACTGATGCTGCTGCTGCTGCCACTGATGCTGCTGCTGCTGCGTAGGGGACGAGACACGAGTGGAGCACTACGCTACTGCGATGGATCAGGGTCGCGTTGCAGCAGCAAATATGCTGGGTTTGAGTAAACCCTTCACAGCTTTGCCTTTCTTCTGGACTATGGTGTTTAATAAGGGGCTTAGGTAAGTAAAAGGAGACACCTAAGCAGCAACTACTGTCTCCTCAGCCGGTCTTTAACGCACTCCTTCATCTGATGCCACACCTACTCTCTTTTTCTGCTCTTTCTTTCTGTCTCTAACTGTCTGTCCCTTTTGAAAGAGTATATATAGTGTATATATATGTATATATACTATATATATATTATATCGTATATTCTCTTTTATACGTCTGTATCTCCTATTTGCGTGTATCTTTTATTTGTCTCTCTTTTGTTCATTTGTCTCTTTATCTGTCTCTCTCTTTAGTTGTCTCCTCAACTGTCTCCTTTCCCCACCTTTCTCCTGAAGGGTCTCCTTCTTTGTTGGGTTGTTTTGTTTTACTGTCTCTGTCAGTTGCTTTTGTCTGTCTGTTCTTTCTTAAACAAAATATTAATTTTATATCTTTATAGTGTAGATTGGAGAAGAATCTACACTATAAATAAATAAATATATATATATATATATATATATATGCCTCCCGTCTATCTCCTTTTGTTAGTCTCCTTTCGTTAGTCTCGTTTTACGTGTCTCCTTTTGATTAGTTTCCTTTTCTTTATAGGAAGTAACAATAATAATAATAATATATTTATTTATTTATTTATTTATTTATTTATTTATTTAAGTTTATTTTGTTCTGTATAGATATATTGGCAGTGGCGCTGGCTATGATGAAGTAATTATAGAAGGAGACATCTCGAAGTATCAGTTTGTTGCATATTATACAAAAGGAGACAAAGTGAGGCCTTCTTAGTTTAGCTGTCTCCTTTATATCTTAACTGTCTCCTTTATATCTTAACTGTCTCCTTCATATCTTAACTGTCTCCTTTATATCTCAACTGTGTCCTTTATATCTTAACTGTGTCCTTTATATCTTAACTGTCTCCTTTATATCTAACTGTGTCCTTTATATCTTAACAGTATCCTTTATATCTAACTGTGTCCTTTATATCTTAGCTGTGTCCTTTATATCTTAACTGTCTCCTTCTTTGTCTCTTAGATGTCTCCTTTATATCTTAACTGTCTCCTTTATCTCTTAGGTGTCTCCTCTATTTTTTCTGTCTTTGTTTTCCTCTGAATTGTTTCCTTGGTAGTTGGTCTGTCTCCTTTCTTCTCTCTTTGTCTGTCTGTCTCTTCTTTGCTGTCTATCTCTGTCTCTGTCTCTCCCTCTGTCTCTTTTTGTCTGTCTCTGTCTCTGTCTCCCTCTCTCTGTCTCTGCGTCCGTTTGCCTACCCCTACACACCTTATCTCTGCTGCTGCTGCTGCTGCTGCTGCTGCTGCATGGGTACAGGTAATAGCAGCAGCAACGATGGGGCGTGACCCGGCTTGTGTTGCGATTGGTGAAGCCCTGAAAGCAAATTTAATGCCGACAGCAACACAACTCAAGATGGGGCTTCAAAATGCACAAGATATTATTGATAAAGTCAAGGTGCTGCTGCTGCTGCTGCTGCTGTCGGGCATGCTGCTGTTGCTGCTGCTGCTTAGTCTGCTGCTGTTGCTGCTGCTGCTTAGTCTGCTGCTGTTGCTGCTGCTAGTGGCTCTACTGCTGCTGCTGCTGCTGTTCATACGTCTGATGCTGATGTGTCTACTGCTGCTCCTCATACGTCTGCTGCTGTTGCTGCTGCTGCTATGTTGTTGTTGCTGCTTGTAGTTTTGTTTCTGCTGTTGTTTCTGTTGCTACGGCTGCTGCGGTGATGTTGCTGATGCTGCTCGTGGTTTTGCTGCTGCTCATGCTGCTGCTGCTGATTGTTCAATTTCCTCGCGCTGCTGCTGTTGCTGTTGCTATTGTTGCTGCTGCTTCGTGACTCCTGCTGCGTTTTGCTGCTGCAGCAAAACTCGATTAAGAGGATTTCGTAAGGCCGCAGCAACAGCAGCAGCCGGACTGGCAGTGGCAGCAGCAGCCCTAGCAACTGCAGAACTGGCAGCAGCAGCAGTAGCCGCAGCAGCAGCAGCAGCACTTGCTGCAGCAGCATAGCTTCAGGCGTTTTGGTTGTCTCAGTGTTACGGGGCATTGTGCGATGCTGCTAAGCAGCAACTAGCTCGTGGCTAGCTAGCTAGTTGTAGCTAGTAGCTAGCTGTTAGCTACCCGTAGCTAGCTGCTAGCTAGCTAGCCAAAAGCTCGCTGCGTGTTGAGGAGACAGTTGTCTCTCCGCGCGATGCAGTGTTTAAATTTGCCTCAGAGGCAACAGCAGCAAATAATAAGACATGCTTCTTTTGATGGTATCTGCTGCCGTCGCTGTTCGTACTGTTGCTGCTGCTGCAGCATCAGCTGCTGCTGCTGCTGCTGCTGCTGCAGCATCAGCTGCTGCTGCTGCTGCTGCTGCTGCATTAGCTGCTGCTGCTGCTGCATTAGCTGCTGCTGCTGCTGCGGGTAGGATGCACTTTAGCAGTCGGTAGCTCTCGTGTCTTCTCTGTCTTCTGCATGTCAGTCAAACAAACCAAAAAATCCTCTTGCTGCAGCAAACCAAATGCTGTTGCAGCAAACTGCTGCAGCAAACTGCTGCAGCGACCCAAATGCTGTTGCAGCAAACTGCTGCAGCAAACTGCTGCAGCGAACCAAATGCTGTTGCAGCAAACTGCTGGAGCGAAGCAAATGCTGGTGCAGTAAACTGCTGCAGCAAAGTGCTGCAGCGACCCAAATGCTGCTGCAGCAAACTACTGCAGCAAAACTGCTGCAACAAACTGCTTGCAGCTAACTACTGCAGCAAAACTGTTGCAGCAACCTGATGCAGCAAACTGCTGCTGCTGCAGCCAAGTTGCTGCACGAACCCCCGCTGCAACTTGAGAGCTGCAGCAGCACTGCTGCTGGTGCACTGCTGTGGCTAAGTGAGAGCAGCAGCTGCTGCTGCAGCAAGTTGAGAGCAGCAGCAACAATGCAGCAGCTGCTGCTGCTGCTGCACCTCTCCTGGTGCAGCAGCAGCTGCAGCAGATTACCTCGTTGTCTCCAATATAGAGGCCTGCGAGAAAAGCTGCTGCTGCTCCCTCACCTCCCGCGCTAAGGTTTCGTCTCCTAGCATCTCTTCGAGCTCATCTCTGCAAGCAGCAGCAAACCAAAAGCTGCTGCTGCTGCTGCTACTGCTGCTGCCTGCTGCTGCGGCAGCAGGGTTTAGGGTCTACGCAGCTGCGAATGAAGAAGGCCCAGAGACAGTCGTATTTCAACGAAAGACAGCAAAGGAGACAGAAAGGAGACAAAAAGGAGACAGCAAGGAGACAAAAAGGAAGCAGAACAGATAAAAAAAGGAGACAACAAAGAGACAAAAGAGAGCCAAAAAGAGACAAAAAGCAGACAAGAAGGGAGACAGAAAAGGAGACAAAAAAGAAACAAAAAAGAGACACAAAAGAGACAGATAGGAAACAGAAAGGAGACAAAAAGGAGACAAAAAAAGAGACAAAAAGAAAACAACAAAGAGACAAAAAGGAGACAGAAAAGAGACAAAAGGGAGACAACAAAGAGACAAAAGGGAGACAAAAACAGAGACAAAAAAGAGGCAAAAAGGAGACAAAAGGAGACATAAAAAAGACAAAAGGAGACATATAAGAGACATAAGGAGACATAAAAAAGACAGAAGAAGACATAAAAGAGACAAAAGAAGACATAAAAGAAACAAAAAAAGAGACAAAAGGAGACAGAAAGGAGACAAAAGGAGACATTTCCCTCACTTGAAGTCACGAAGGAGACAGCACAATGCGCGCATGCAGGCATCCTGCAGAGGAGACCGCTGAGCTCGCAGCATGGCGTCAAGACACCGCAGCACCGGCAGCACCTGCACAAATTCAAAACCCTAAACCCTAAACCCTAAACCCTAAACCACACAGCCGAAACCCTAAACCACGCAGCCGAAACCCTAAACCACAGAACTTAAACCCTAAACCCTAGGGATAGGAGACGGAGACAATACGAATGGTGAACAGACAGAAAGGAGACAAACAGAGACACTAAAAGGAGACAAACAGAGGCATCTAGAGGAGACAAAGAAGGTCAGACAAAAGAAACATAAAGGAAGTAAAGAGAAAGACAGGCAAGAGACAAAGTGAGACATTAAAAGGAGACAAAGAGAGACATCAAAAAGAGACAAAGAGAGACATCAAAAGAAGACAAAGAGAGACATCAAAAGGAGACAGTGGCTTACTTCTGCTTGCAGCACCCTCTTTAGCATCGCTGCAACAAGACCTTCTACCTTTCCTTCTGCTGCTCTCTGAGCTGCGGGGCCCCGCGAGCGGCTAGCAGCGCCTTTGCTGCTGCTGCTGCCGCGAGTTGTTCTGTCTCCCGCTGCGGCTGTCTCCTCCTCCCCTCCGTTATCCCCACCGTCCTCTGCTGCTGCAGCAGCAGCTGCTGCTGCTGCTGCATTCGGGGTGCGCACAATCTTGATCCTTAAGTCAGAGGAAGCCAGCAGCAGCAGCGTGTCTTCTAGCAGACACCCCAACGGCTCCTGGCGAGATGAAGGAAGAGGCAGCAGCAGTAATAGCAGCAGTAGTAGTAGCAGAAGCAGCAGCCGCAGCGCATTGAACT